TGGTATCTATCTCAGTCTCATATGTCTTTTGTTGCTGTTGTTAAATGTTGTTGACTTGGACATGACTCATAATGATGCTATGAACAAAAGATCTGAACTCTGTTCTATCGTGTGCCATCCTCACACTTCCTGACACACAAGAGCCCATTGCAGCCACCATGTCAATCCAGTTAGTTGAGAGTCTTTCTTTCCTTGCTGACCCTCAACCCTTTCCAACATCATGTCCTTCTCCAAGGAATGGTCCCTCCTAGCAACATAGCCAAAGTATGTCAGGCAAACTCTCATCATTCCTCCTTCCAAAGAACACTCTCTACAAGACATATCTGTTTGTTCTCTTGGCCATCCATAGGATGTTCAGTGCTCTTCTTCAAAACCACAGCTCAAAGGGATCAATTCTCTTTCTGTCATCCTTATTCACTGTCCAGCTCTCAGATGCATAGCAAGTATCAGCTTAAAGACGAAGGCCTGAATCAGACATACCTTAGTTCTCAAACTGACATTACTCATCAATAATTTGGAGAGATCACTAACTGCAGATTTTCCCAGACCAATGAATCTCCTTCTATATTTTTAGTGAGTTTAATTTAATAATTATTTTCTGGTTAATCTTGGACGTCATGAGAGAATTTCTATACTTTCAAAACAAAGACAAGTTTTAGTCTTTTGATAATATTTTTTTATTACTTTCAACCCTCTCACATATGTCTAACAATATTTGTGTTGTGCACCTAGCTAAAATTCCTATCTTTGTTCTTTTCAGTACCCCAGGAGACATTATATAACTATAAACTAGGAAAATTAGCTAATTTAATGTACAACTTTTTGTAATGGAGTTGATCCAATATTTTTTGTTTCAAAGCCTGAGGACTAATTCAAGCTACATCAAGAAAAGAGAGTATATGGTGAAGATAATATGTAAAGAAAATATGAAAAGAAAATAACACAGAAACCCAAAAAGATTAATAAAGCCAGACCTTACAGATGCACCCCTAGTGGACAATAGCAGAGGCAAGATCTAAGCACATGGAGACAGATTGTCCCCCACCACTGAAGAGGAAGTAGGACATCCTTCTTGCTCCAGCTACACCTAAAGCAGCAACAGCCATAAACTGTTCTGACATAAGATAAGACCTTGGAGGGATGGGAGAGCCAGTATTGTCAGGAATGAGAAATTTGTTGGAGAAGTATGGGTTTGAAGCCTATTTGGCAGAACTGAGAACTTTGGAACACTAGGCTAAAGCTGAGAGACTCAAGGCTGAGGTGCCTACGTGCACATTTCGGGAGTAGTCTTGACTGTATTCTACTACGATACTGGATTATATATAACCTTTTGATTTGATTTCCCTAGAAATAAAGAAATTAAAAATCCCACATTTTTTACAAAGGGTCCAGTAGTAAATATTTGTGGGTCACAAAAAAAAAAAGTTCTGAGCACATGGAGAACCACATTATCATTTCATCCCTCACTATCATCTGATATCATGTGGTGGCCTAATGGTAAGAAGCTGTGCTGCAAACCCAAGCCATGTGGTTTGAATCTATCAGCTGCTCCACAGAAGAAAAATGGGCAATCTTCTTCCATATGATTTACCATCTCTGAAAAAAACTGCTAGAGGGTTAGCTATGGGTCAGTTCCAACTTGACAGTATACAACAACAATAACATCAGATATTCAATAATTTTAGTTTGGGGTTTCATCAATAAAGTGCTTTATACTCTCCCTATTTCTTTTTCTCATATTTCCTTCTTCATTTGTTCAGACCACCATTTAGCATCATTTTCTTAAAAACATCCAGATTTTGAGAGAGGAAATAAAACAGGACCTCAAGTTCTCCTCATTCTTATTTAAATAGGAAAAAAGTCTTGCAGCATAGTTCTTTAAAAGCTCCAGATCAGCCTCCAGCCTGCTATCAGGTATCCACCTCATGCAATCAATTGTGGTGATATGGAACATTTGAGTTGTTACGATGAGCTGGTTAACTATGTCTAGGGTGTTCAGGAAATCTGAGAGCATAGATTTCCTCAGGAGTTGTAAGCTTGGCTAGAACCTGAAGCTAATATATCCTCCTCAAAAAAAAAAAATCACCATCAAGTTGATTTTAAATCATGGAGACTGAAGAAGATCAAAGATGGAGAAAAGATTGAAGTGTCTCATGAGATTTACTGTCTCTGAAAATCCACTTGAGGGTCAGCTGTGGGTTGATTCCCACTTGACAGCACATAATAACATCATTATATAACTGTTAAATCACTAAAAATCTTGGCACATCCAAGTGGATATGTAATCTTACCCTTCATAGCCTTCATTACTCTCTTCCTACTTCAGGATTCATTATTGCCAGAAGTATATTGTTAATGCCCCAAATAGATATCGATTTTTTAAATTATTGTCATAAGTGCAAAATGTCAGACAAGACAGTTGGATATAGATTAAGTGTTGTCATAAATGCAAGATGTCAGATAAAAAGGCAGTAAGAAAGAAATTTTTTCATACACATACACATAATTTAATGACAAGAGCTCTGACATTCTGATGGAACAGACCTGTAAGAAAATGAGAAGGGCAAATCTCTAAGGCGAGTACATGTTCTTTAGCTCAATAAATTTTTCTGTGTGTTCCAATGGACTTCTGTGGAAATACAGATAAAAACACATTTAAAAAGTGCAAGTGCTAAGATAAAGCAGTTTTCCTTAAAAGAAATAAAGATATAAGAATTTATTTTTTTACTTCAGTTTTCAGCATTTACACAAATAACCATCTCAGAGGTCAGAAAGAATTAATGTCAGACTCGACTATCATGAACTTGCCATGGCCTCATATTAAAGAGAGAATAGAGAACACTTGATCGTGCTAATGTGAAACCTATACTTGGACTAAGAGGCATCGTCAGAACAGAGTAAGGAAACACAGCATGGTTCAAAATTGGGAAGGGTGTGCACTAGGGATGTGTCCTGTCTCCATACCTTTTTAACTTGTATGCAGAACAGATTATCTGGGAGTCTGGGCTCTATGAGGAGAAATATGTCATCAGGATTGGTAGAAGATCTATCAACAATCTGCGTTATGCAGATGACACAACCCTGCTTGCTGAAACTGAGGAGGACCTGAAGCGCTTGCTGCAGAGGATCAAGGACGGCGGCCTTCAGTATGGATTGAGACTCAATGTCAAGAAGACAAAGATTCTCACCACTGGACCAATTGACAGCATCAAGGTGGATGGTGAAGAGATTGAGATTGTTCACAGCTTTAGTCTGCTTGGCTCCACAGTCAATACTCTTGTCACCAGCACCCAGGAAATTAAAAGACATTGCGATGGGAAAGTCTGCTGTTAGAGACCTATCCAAAATACTGAAGAGCAATAGTGTCTCTCTGGAGACTAAGGTGTGTCTGATACAGGCCATGGTCTTTGTAATCACTTCTTATGCATCAGAGAGTTGGACAATGACTAGGAAAGATAGAAGGAGAATTGATGCCTTTGAGCTGTAGTGCTGGAGAAGAGTATTGGACAGATTCATCCTGGAGAGGGTTAAACCTGGCTGCTCCTTAGAGGCAAAGATTCTGGGGCTTTGTCTGACATACTTTGGTCATGTTGTAAGGAGAGACAGGTCCTTGGAGAGGGACATCATGCTTGGGAGGGTTGAGGGCAGGCGCGGGAGGGGAAGGCCCTCTATGAGGTGGATTGATTCAGTGACTAGGGTAATTGGGATGGGTATGTCGGAGACAATGAGATTGATGCAGGACAGAACAGAGTGTAGGGCTATTGTACATAGAGTCGCTATGAGTCGCAAGCGACTTGACAGCACATAAGAACAACAACAACATAATAGATTCACTTGGAAAACTATCATAAACAATATAAACTAAGTTGAATACATGATAACATTTCAACAAAATAATTTAAGAAAAATCTTTCATTTGAACTGTAGAAAGTTACAAAAGCATTTGGTAGTATATTAAAGAAAGAAATCCTTAATATACACACATACTAGAAAATGCAAGGACACATTTTTTAAATATTATCATTTTTATTATAAAACAAATCTTTTGTTTTGAGGTAACATTTCAAAGACTATTTGGCAAAAATCAAGTGAAATCTATCTACACAACTTTGCTATGTACAAATATACGGTGATTCAGAGGAGAGGTTTCTAGCATTGCACATAAGCTGATTTCAGGACAAATAACGTATTTAAAAGATCTTTTTAAGTAGGGACTTCTTTCTACAACTCTCCTCTGCCCAATCGGTAGTCAATAATGTTATAATGTTCATGAGGTTCCACAGAAACATCTAACAGGATAAAACATGTGGACAGGAAAAAAATTCCATTTTTCTCAAACACCTCAGTAGGTCAAAATTCAAAAGCGTTTTCTGAGACTAATTTTTTTTGTTATGCAAGAGTTTCTATTGCTCATCCCCCAAATAACTAATACAATACTTCTTCAATGGAGAAATCCTACCTAGTTCTCCATCTCCATTGTCTTTTCCTCCATTAAAATTCTGATTCTCCAAGACAGTGTTGGCCGGTATTTTCTATGTTTCCTTATTACTTTGTTCACTATTATGTTCTAGCATTCATCACACTGGAGTGAAATAGTTCTTTCGCTCATAGGTATCCCTCTTTAAGTCAGGAGCACCTCAGGAGAAAGAATCAAGTCTCAAACTTCTTTATATCCCCAGCCCCTAGCACAGTGCCGTGTACATAATAGAACCTCAGGAACTGCTTACTGTCTAATGAATTAAGTCTTTCTCAGCTGCGAAGTTATAATGTGCAGCTTTCTTTACATCTAGCCTCACAGAGTCTGTGCTGGTGTCATTCTACATTCTATAAAGAAGGGTAACAACTTTGAAACAAGAGTAATTTCCAGAAGTTCCTTTCTGAAGGCATTGGCCTCTGGTTATCCTCCTGATGAAAGATTCAATAAATTATAGTTGTAATGATTTCCCTACTCTCTACGATATCAAGATGTATGTGAGAGCCACATCTAAAGACAACTGATTTTAATAGCCATCTTGGCAGTCATTGTCATCTTGGTCTCCTCTGGGTTTGTTGTGATAAGCATCCACTGTTAATTTTCTGCTTTCTATCTCAAGGTTTCTGGTTTGGCCGTCTTCCTCACTGCTCGATGTGCTCTCAGTAGAGTTGCTGTCTTCTTTTGATCTACTACTGTCCTGAGAATCACTGTTGTCATCTTCTGTCGACTGGCTGTCCTCCTCAGACTGGCTTTCGTCACTCTGGCTCTCTGTGGAGGCACTCTGTGATTGGAGACTCTCCTGGCTGGAGCTGTTCTCATCTTCTGTGGACTCTGGGCTTTCCTCAGAGGATCTCAGGCTTTCATTGGAGTCACTGTCAGCTTGTTCCTCTCTGGATTCACTTTCTGAATGGGAGGGTTTGTCTTCTTCACTGGAGTCACTGTCTTCCTGGTCATCTTCTGAATGGTTGCTGGTGTTTTCATCTGGGTTATCACCCCTGGACTCACTCACTCCATCTTCCTGAGATTCACTACTGTTTTCTTGAGATGGGAGGTCACCTTCTTGACTAGATTCACTGCTGAGGTCTTGGCCATTTTGGCTGTCTTCCTGAGATTCACTCTCCTTGCTGTCTTCTTGAGAGTCGCTATTTTCTCTGGATGGGCTGAGGTCAACATCCTTGGAGCTGCTATTTTCTGTGGAGTCACTCTGAACATCTTCCATCGTGTTGCTGTCCTCAAGCTCTATTCTGTCATCTTCTTGAGAAATGTGGGACTTTCTGAAAAATTTTCTCTTAGGATACTCCACAGATTGGCTGCCATGTGAGTCCTGAATATTTGTTTTGGATTCTTTTGATTTGAGATTAGCACCAATCATTTTAGAAAGGTTCCTGTCACTCCTGATGCTGTCTGGGTCATCACTCTGCATCCCTTCATCATCAAACTCGGAGCCATCCCCATGGCTACTGTCCCCCTCACTGCCACCTCCCATCCAGTGCTCCTCACTGTCACTCTCACGAGTTGAGTCTTGGGCACTTTCATCCGCTTGGAGAGTGCTGTCTTCACTGGATTGTGTGGCGTCTGAAGAGTTTTCATCACTTTCAAGTCTGATGTTTCCTCCATCTTGTCCCTCGTCAGGGCCAATGCCATTGTCCTCATCAGCGAAAGTGTCATCTCCACTGTCATCCTCCTCCTCATCTTTATAATCTCCTTTTCCACCACTCCTGGAGAGGCCACCCGCTGGTCTATGAGTGTACTGACGGCCATCAGGGTCCAGGCCCTCCTCTGACTCAGTGCTGTCACTGGGGTCTTCATTTGCCTGGAGGTTGGAGTTAATAGACACAGTTAGTCTTCAAGGAATTTATTACAGAAGCAGTGATCTACTACTGCCTTTTAAAGCTCTTTCTGCTTCCTCCTTCCTCTAACACAAGATCAATTTTATTTCTGCATCTCTATAAAAGGTTAAACAAGCAAAAGGAGAAGAACCAAATTCAAGCCATTTTGCATCCTCACACTTCATTCAAGAATATAAAAATTTACTCAAAACCACTTTGTTGTTGTTCTTGTGTGTCATTGCGTTACAATTGACTCAGAGTTGACCCTCCAGTGAGTTTTCAGAGCCAGTAAATGACACAGGAGGTAATTACCTATCCTTATACTGGAGAGCTCTGGTGACCTAGTGGCACGAAGCTACACTGCAATCTTGAAGGCACACAGTTCTAGGTCACCCCTCCTCCACAGCAGAAAGATGGGGCAATCTTTTCCAGTGTGATTAACTGCCTCTGAAAACCTGCTGGAGGGTCAGCTACAGGTCAGTTCTGATACAACTACATCATACTGGAGAGAAGCTGGAGGATTTAAACCACATACCTTTGAGATTGCAGTGCAGTTTCTTACCACTAGATCACTTTTAAATTTATTTGATCCAAATAGCTAATGTCATTCTAATTACTTAAAGGAAAGGCTCAGAAAATTTTCTGTGAACTGTTTGTTACTGGAAGTTTTGTATATAACATATTGGGCTGTTAATTGAAAGGTCAGTGGTTCAAATCTACCAACTACTCCTTGGGAGAAAGATGGGCCATCTCTTCCCACAATGAAGGGTCACTGTGAGTTAGAATTTACTCCACAGCAGTAAGTTCCATAATGCTCACACATTAGTTTAATTAGCTTAAATTAAAATGTGTGTTTTTGGCTTTACTATTAAATGTCCCAAGTTATTTCTGTTGGTTTGGTTTGGTTTTTTATATATGTAATTCTAAACCAAATTTCACTAGGATGAAAGGACAAAATTATCCAGTTAAATAAAAGTAAAATACAAGCACTTCACTCAAATCACATTTACACCTCATTTGCATAAGCAAAGATTTGTCTATAAAAGATTCAACCAGAAGACTGTAAGTCCTATGACTAGCAGGGTAGCTTGACTCTTAAGTCTGAGATCAGAGGTGACCACAGTGAACGAAAACAAGTAAGCCTTCATTCTCAATAAAGTCAAATCCACTCTTATTAACTATATTCTGCAACAGTGATTAGTTGTAGTTGTAGTACCCTCCCGCCTCTCCCATTGTACATGCCTCCACTGATCAAATCTGAGTTTTGGTTTGGGAATACTAATGGCATCCCTTCCATCCCTGGAGTTCTAGTATGGTATGCTGGAATTGAAGTTGTTTATTGTTTAGCACATACTATGAGGCACCAATCACATCCCTTCCAAGCAGGGACTTTTGCCCTCATTAAACAGTTTAGAGAACATTGAGGAAAAAAAAAATCACAAAATCTTCAGAAAAGAGTATTTCTCTAATTTAAAATTTTTTAAAAAATATTCTTTTGACAAACCTTTGGGGGAAAGGGATATAAAACCTAATGATTCAAATCCAAAGTCTCTGTAAACTTTCATTGAAGTTAATAATAATTTAAAAAAAAAAACACCCAAAACAAACAAACAAAAAAAAACCCCTAATGATTCCCTTTCCATCTCTGACAAGATGTAGGGTACAGCATGGGTTACATTTCCATGGAGGAGTATGGTTCCCCAAATCTCTAGAACCCCCAAAATGTGAAATTTAGCCAAAATGACAGAACTTCTTAGAAAGTAATACCTTTTTATCTTGGACAAATGAAAACAAACATCAAAACAAAACACTAGTCTTTAAGTAAATGTCAACTTCTAGGAGTAAATCGCTTACTAACCATGGTTGTTCTAGTTTTTCTTACTCCCTGAGTTACAGACAGACCTAATTTAAATTTAAAAAGTTGTTTCCAAAGGAGCTATTTCATTAGCTGCTCCTCAGGGCTCTCCCTTTCCTTTCACCAACAGGATCCTGGACATGGAGGCGTCCAGGCCCAGCAGGAACTTCTTGTTTGCCAGAATTTTAAATTTTTTTCCCCTGCCTGATGTGAACAGCTCCAAGTTATAAGAGCAGCATTCTAGAAAGACAAGTGAGCTCTTATAGGAGTTTTCACATAGTCAGTGATCACATTTAGGTATATGCATCTGTGTCTTTGCTTTGTTTTGCTTTTAACATAAGGCCACAACGTGTACATTCCAGCTCTGGTGATACATTTTAAATGAACAGCATGTCCACAACCCCTAAAGTCTCCCCACTCCCTGTTACCTTCTTATTTTATAGAACCACTTAGCCAACATAACCAATGTTTAGAAAATATTATATTTAGAACTGTTTCCAGGTAATTTAATCTAACATCACCTCCTCCATTTCCTAAGTAGCCCGAATAGTTCAGAAAGATCTGCTTAATTACCTGGTCCTCTGAGCTAACTTTACTTTCATCTGATGACTCACTGCTCCCCTGAAAAGAGGGAAAAGAAAAAAGTTTATTTTTTCTTTTTAGTAATTGTTCAGGAAAGAAAAAAGTATGACACATAACAATTGTTTGTGGTTTGGATTTACTACTTCCAGAATGGCATAAACATGATGGAAAGAGTATCAGAAGTAAGCTATTTCATAAGATGTTTATGACAAAAATAAATAGTTACCGAAGGTGGTGTTGGTGTCTGAGTCAACTGGGCCTGCAGAAAGGGAGGGAACCAAGTTATTCCTTCACCATTGTTTACGTCATTCACATTGCAAATAGAATAGTTTTAGGGGAGGTTTTATAGGGTTTTTTTGGTTTGTTGACATATATTTTACATTTGCATAGAGAATAATGAAATTTTATGGTAAAACTATTGAAAAAATATTTGAGATTATAAAACAGCTGGGTTTTTGTTTTTTTTGGTTTTTTTTAAAGAATACTTATTTCTGACACTTCACTCACAGAAAGCAAAAAAATGTCCAAACCACATCAGGACCCCACCTTAAAACTTTTAAAAGGCTGATTGGCTGTTCATGCAACCCTGAAAAAAATATAATATGGGGAAAGCCTTGCAATTCAGTATCCATATTTTTTAATATATTTATGTTTGAATTAACTTGATCAACTTAGTTTGAGCACTAGGTAACGGGTAAACTAATGCATTGACAAACCTGTGTGAGCTTCAGGCAGTTCACGTCACACATTTTTCCTTCAGATTCTTATTTATAAGTTGGAAAAATTAACATAAAATTTGATTACCTCACAGAGTTGCTATGAGGATAGAATCAGCTGAAAACTGTGGAAACTTCTTGAGAACTATTCAATGTGATGTGAACTAAAGAGATCATCAGTTTTTAAAACATCTACTTTATAAGATTCAAGAGTAGACAGCATTGAGTTGAGAGTCATATAAGCTCACAGATGCTAAATCTAAGGCTCAGTTATCCATAGTTCCAATTGAGTCTACTCTTGCAAGACCTATACAATACTTGAGTCACTTTTGGTTGCTATTGGAACCAGTTGGGATGCACCTAACAAGAGCAAGAGCCAGGGTGAGTTCTGAGAGCACAGCAATGCCAAGCAAAGGCTGTGAACACCAAATAGGCCAAGTAGAGCAGGGAGGGGCTGTTGTTAGCATGTCTTCAACATGCCCACCTGCAATGTCTCCTTTAGAAGAAGGAGCTCTAATCATCATTGCCCTTGGGCTATAGGGCCCTAAACTAGAAAGTAGTCTCCATTGTTGTAAGCTATCTCATCAATGGTCTCCCTCTCATTCTCCGTCCCTTCACCCTTCCAAGCATGATGTCCCTCTCCAAGGACCAGAGCACAGCATAGAGCAGGTTTCAGGGCTGTTGTGCATAGGGTCACTATGATGCACAAGTGACTCGAAGGCACCTAACAGCAACAAAAACAATTACAGTAAGTTATCATTAGGAATTATGAGGTGGAGATATTGGTCTTTGTCTCCTACCATGAGTGGGAAACAACATATTTGTGCTACTCTTATTCTGCTGGAATGAGAGGGAGGAAATATAGTGACTGCCTTTAAATTAACTGGCCTATATATATCTCTACTTTAAACCGCAGACATTCCCGGGTCACCAACTAAGATTCTTGGGACCAAATTGTATAATATACAAATTCCAGCAGGTTTAAGAAAAAATACATGATGCCATTCGGGATAAAATTTTAACTTCTACTTCTGATGCTGAACCTACATACTGGGAACAAACATTTGGTAATACCATTTCAGACAAGACAAGAATCTTATAACAAAAGTTTACAGAATACTCCTGGGCGTCCACAACAGACAAACAAACAAAAATCAAACACACCAAAACCCAATTACAAAATGGGCAAAAGAAACGGAAATGATTTTCATAGAGGAAAATATTTGAATGGTAAACAGATACATGAAGAAATGCTGCAAATCACTAGCAATTAGAAAGATGCAAATCAAAACCACAGGTACCATCTCACTCCACTAACAGTGGCAAAGTTTAAGAGGGCAGCAAGTAATAAATGTTGAAGAGGATGTGGCGAGAAAGAAACTCTTATACATTATTGGTGGGATTGTAAAATGGCACAACCATTCTGCAAGGCAGTTTGGCACACCCTCAAAAAGCTAACCCTAGAAATTCCATATGACCCAACTATTCCACTACTTGGAATATACCCTGAGAAAATGAGAACTGAGGCACAAACAAAAATTTGTACACCAATGTTCACAGCAGCATTATTCACCATCGGAAGAACCTGGAAACAGCCCAAATGTCCAACCACAAACAAATGGATTGAGAAATTATGGTACATTCACACAATGGAATACTATGCAGCACGCAGGAGCAATAACATTGTAAATTATTATTTAACTTGAGAGGGGCTGGAGAGCATTATGCTGAGTGAACTAACTCAGCCACACATGGATAAATATTGTATTATAGTAGAATGAATATAAGCATCCAAGAAGGGTGGGAGAGGGTGGAAGCAGAGGGATGAAGATGTGCACAGGAGGGGGTATTAATCATGAGTTTGTACAATTTGATGGTGGAGGGTGAGAGAAATCAAAAGAATCTATTCTTGAAAACAATGTGTTTTAATTTTGTAAATAAATTAGTATAATTTTTTAAAAAAAATGCACTAACTTTCTACACTTAGCCCCTGTAGAGGATGTTAGTGGGAGTCAGTGCAACATAGGTTGAAAGTCTAACTTTAGCACTTATTAACCACATAACCTAGTAAACTTGGTTACTCTTTATGATTCAGTTTTCTCATTTGTAAAATGGGAATAAAGTAACATTTAAACTATAAAGTTGTTGTGAACATGAAGAAGTTAATACATGTAAAAACTTGGAATAGTGCATAACACTTTCCAAGACTTGACCGCCTGTCTTCTTATACATATGTCATCTACCAGGTACTACTATACACATTCCTTTACGAATAAAGCTAAAAGGAGGTAGAAGTGTAAAGACTGCCTTACCAAATAGTAGTATTAAGTTGTATATGAAGTATGATATAAACTAAATAATCTCATATTGACTAGAAATTATAACTTCATCTACCTGTTTCTTCCTATATTTTAAGCTATGATAGTACTTGTGAAATGATTTGTTATTGTTATATACAATCAAGTCAAAATTGACTTATAGCTGATCTTCCAGCAGGTTTTTAAAGGCAGTAAAGGAAGGGAGGAGATTGCCTGCATTTTCCCCATGGCACAGCTGGTGAATTCAAACCACACACTTCTACTTTCGCAGAGCAATTCTTTACCACTCCGCCACCAGAACTCCTCACAAACTCCTCAGTGAAGTCAATTTGATTGTAATCTATCAGAACTAAAACATCCCCCTCCCACCAAAATAAATTTTCTACATACCTTCCATTCTTCAGAGCTTTCAGATTCAGGGGTTTGATACCTGGCTACCTGAAAAATTAAGCATTGTGGTCAATTCATAAGGCAATTTTGAAGACAATTGCTATTAAGATGAGAGCAATAAGACGCCTAGTCACCATGCCATTGAATCAACTCCAATTCATGGTCACTCATGCATATCAGAGTGGAATTGTGCTTCATAGGCTTTTCAATTATTGTGGCCTTTTGGAAGCAGATCACTAGGCATTTTTCCCAAGTTGTCTCTGGTTGAACTTAGACTTTCAACTTTTCTGATAGTAGCAGAGTATACTCCCAAATCCGTGGGTTCCACTCAACGGTTTCTAGCAGTGGTCTTAAATGCATCAGAATCACCTGGAGGCAAGCTCAGATTGATATACCCTATCCCGAGATTCTTCATTAGAGCTGAGGCTGGACACAAGAATTTGATTTTTTTTTTAAAAAAGGTCTTTGTTGCTACTGATAGGGAGAACTTTTTGAGAATCATTGTTTATAAGGAAGAAAAATGGGTATGTGAATGGTATTTGAACAGAATTAGGAATAAGTTGGATGATGTTTTAAAGAGCATAGATGCCTAAGGAATCTTAGTCTGCTTCCAGTAAAATCTATGGGATAATTTTACCATGTCCTTTAGGATCGCTAGGGAGCTCTGGTGGGCTAGTGGGTAAGGAGTTTCATTGCTAACCCAAAGAAAAGTGGTTTGAATCCATCAGTTGCTTAATGAGAGAGATAGGCTTCCTTCAGAGTAATGCAAACCTTTTGAAAACATTTTGGCCAGTCAGCTGTGAGTTGGCTTTGTTTTGACAGCAATGAGTATAGGGTCACTCTGAGTCAGAATCAATTTGATTGTACAGAACAACAAAACACTGACAGCCACCTTGAATCATGTTGTTGTTGTTGTGTATCATCAAGTTGGAATTGACCCTCCAGCAGGATTTCAGAGGCAGTTAATTGCAAGGGAGGAGACTGCCCATCCTTCTCCCACAGAGCAGCTGGTGGCCCTGAATTGCATGCCTTTGGGATTGCTGTGCAGCTTCTTGCTACTAGTCCACCAGATTCATTAGAAAAGAAAAATTGTGGTGTTTTAGGTACACTTACTGGAAGAGCACAGGACAAGCCCCAAAGGAACACGAAGAAGAGGCTGGTCTTCATGGCCGAGTGTGGTGCTGTTCCTGTGATGAAAAACACAAGATGTATTGTTCCAGGCTACAGAAATAGTCTTAGCTTCGTTTCTCAACATTTTTTTCTCATTTACAAAACAACTCAGTCTTAAGCGCTAAATGGAAATAATTTCTATGAAAAGATCTTCCAACATTTTTTTCACTTATTCTTAATCTAAAATAAGGGGAGGTATATTTAATGCCACATGTATGCATGTGAAGATTATAGAAATGGGAAAATGATTTGTTATCTATATGTTTACCATATTATTTAAAAAAAATGTAATGGAAAGATCTGACAAAAATAAGAGAAATGTGAATCAAGACATTTCTAAGCATTCACATGAATTCAGACTAATTTTCCAGTAGTTAAGCAACCTGATGAATGCATTCCCCCCAAAACACTGTTTACTGACATAATATTGAGCATTTGTCTTGGCCTGTACACACAAATGACTTATAAGTAACTGTAACAAACACATATTAATGTCTGGGGAAAAAAAAACCCATAATTTTTGCATTATATCCTTGGTTTATAGGAGCTGTATTATGGTGACCTTCATATTACAGTTCAGAAAGCTCTTAATATCTACTGTAAACTATTTAGTCATATATTATACAGGGTTATGCTAAATTCTGTGTCATCCGTGGTACTCTGGAACTAGAACTGATTAAAGGTTTGGGGTACACTTCTCAGTCATGCTGAGAGAAGCTGGACAAACAAAACCGTCCTTTCCTAGAGGGTGGCTTGGTTTCACACTTTAAGAATTGGTGGGATTTGGAAAATAATTTGTTTCATGTCTAATAATAGATGTACTTAATTGTAATGGAAAAAGTTATTGAAATTCTTTAAAAGAAAATAACCTGCTTTGCAGTATAGTAGGTCCTTTTAGCTGCCCTAACATGCCTATCAAATGGGCACCTGTACATTTTTTTTAAAACCATCCTATGAGTTTATTTCAGACTTCATTTTTTTATAAAAAAGTTAAATATTTACTGTACCAATTTCAAGATATCTAAGCCAGCAATTCTCCATGCTGGTGGTAAACTAATATCACTTAGGAATCTTAAAAAAATAAAAACTAATGCACAAGCTCCCTTCCAGAGTATTGAGAGGTGGACAAAGAGGTCAGTTTTGAAAAGTCCCCAAGTGATTTTCGCTCTTAATTGACAATTAATACATACACACATAAGTTGAGTAAAGAAAAAAAGCAATGTACAAAAGAGGTTGATCAGGTATTTTAATTAATTAATCAATGGTCATTAGTATAATAAAATGTCAAAGTATGATGTCAGTAAAATGTCAGAGTATGAATTTATGGAAAACCAAAATGCTTTAAATTTATAAAAACTGTTTTAGTCTTTCAAAAATTCTTTTAAATTAATTTTTTAAATTTTATTATTAATTGTGTGTGTACCATCAAATCGGATCTGACTGGTACAGGAGGAGATTGTCCCACCTTTTCCAGCAGAGCATCTGGTGGATTCGAACCACATACCTCTGGGATTGCAGTGCAGCTTCTTTCCACTAGGCCACCAGAGCTCCCTTAAAATTAGTTTTAAATACACATATTAACACAAAGTAACAAGTATGATTGCTCAATAAGGTGTCTGAGACACTCAGTGTCTTCTTTGAGTCATCTAATCCTCTGAAAAGTATATTCCAGAAAATAGGAAATCTAAAATAAAGGAGAGACTGGTCCCTGGAGAAGGACATCATGCTTGGAAAGGTGGAGGGACAGTGCAGGAGACAAGGACGTCAGATGAGATGGACTGATACAGTGACTGGAGCAATGGGGTTGCTGTGTTCGAATTAGTGAGACTGGCTAAGGACAGGGCAGAAATCAGAGCTGCTGTTCATAGGGTTACTATGAGTCACAGGTGACTGGACAGCACAGCACATAACAAGATAAAGGAGAAGGAAATAATTCCTCAGTTCAGTTTTACCTTCACACAATTCAAATAGTCGAACAGGAGTGTCTAATTTATATCATGATCATTACCCATTTTTACAAGTTAGTTTTTGTGTTCTTTTATTTAAGTATATTTGTAAAGACTTGTGCTGCCAACTCAAAGGCAAGTGGTTTAAATGCATCAGCTTCTCCCCAGGAGAAAGATGAGTAATCTCCACCCATGAGATTCACAGTCTCTGAAAATCAACTGAAAGGTCAGATAGAAGTCAGTTCTAACACAATGTCACATAACAACAACAACAATAATCTTTGTTTTTAGTATTATTTGAGAAATTTTTTGCACATACTTTACTGAATATCAACAACAACAATAAAAAAACAAACCATAGGTATGCATAAAGAAAGACAAATCCAAGTGATGCTCCTTCCATTAGTTCTAACAATCAAGCCATTTTTCAAGTTCTTAGATGTTTACCAAAGGTGCTTCCATTGTTAACATAATTGATCTGTAAGAAAGAGGAACTGACCTCCTCATGCTTCTAAGACTGCCACTTAGCACCCTGACCTACAGCAAACTTTTTCCAAATGGAAACATGGTAGATAAAAACAAAAGTAACTTTAGGTCCTAAGAGAGTTGATGTTGCCTCCTGAAAAATATAGTCCCGCAGTAGACATTAAGAAAAGCTAGACCTTAAATATTATATTAAAACTCTCACAAGCCCACTGTCTTTGCACCAAAGCTGCCCCCTCTCTGACCTTCTAGTGGGTTTCCAAGGCTGTAAATTGTACAGGAATAGATTGCTCATCTTTTTTCCTGTGGAGCAACTGTTGGGTACAAACAGTCAAAGAGGCACAACTTTTGGTTAACAGTCCAAAGCTCTATAGACCAGAGTTTCCTAAACATTATACTAGGTTTTGAATTGAGATTTTTGTAAGATTAATTATATTTTGTTCAGTGTATTGCCAAAAAGAAACTCTAAACTTGTATCAGTATCAACTCTTAAGCTGCAAACAATAGAAGTGAATAATTAGTAGCTTTATTCTGCGTAAGAAACTAGCAAAATAGTTAAATTTTAAATAGGTGTCTGGAATCCTTTTTAATGGATCCTTTCTTAATGAAGAAACCCTTTTTCTTCATTAATAGGTAAAGGTTATTTCTACAGTGACAACATGTAACAAAAGGAAATTAACAACTATTATGTGAGTTGCACCTGCTTTCAGGGCTCTATATTACAAATAATTTAAATTTTGTGTTTTGCCTCTGAGTTTTTCTTTTTGAAAAAAACTCAAATTTAAGAGCTACAGGAAGAAATACAGTTCAGATTTCAAGTTTATTCAAAACTTCTTTGGGCTCCTAAATAAGAAAATGAGTTCTGGAATTTCCTCAAAATTAAAATTCACTTGCAAAGTGCCTATTTTCTTTTATGTGAGTTGAGAGAAAAGAGTCTAAAAAAGAAAAAGAAAGAAAAAAATACATACTTTGGCTTACTATCAAAGCAATTTATCGGACTTGATAATGCTAATTTATGTTTTGGTATATTTATCCTCAATGATACTAAAGAATATGTTTATTCAGCAGTCACCAATATTTATTGAGCAAAAGTATTTACTGTTCTAGATGTTGAAAGTAAAATTAAAAAACTCCTTGATTGCTTGACCCTTCAGCAGATTTTCAGAGAGTACAAATTGTGTGGGAAGAAATTGCTCTTCTTTCTCCCACTGAGGGGCTAGTGGATTCGAACTGTCCACCTTTTAACTCCCTACCTACTAGGCCACCAGAGCTTCCTGAATGCGCAACAGTTGTGTTAATAAACTGGTCTTATATACAGTAAGATTATTAAAAATTCAATTGCTCAGAACCTCTGTTAGGTAGAACTTATTTATTAATATTTGAAAGTAAATTAGAAAATGGTTAAGATATGAACTCTAAATTCAGAAAAATCAAAGACACTGATCAGTAAAACTATCTAAAATTTTCAGTTACATGATCAGGAAATCAATCAATTCAGCATCATGTGCTTTAAATCTCTGTAAAATAGCTACAAAATGCCCTTAAATTAAGCATAAATTTGAAACATCTCCAAGTATCTGAAGCATGCCGATGCATACTACCGTTTTGAGGCAGACTAAATAACTAATACCTTTTAGAAGACTGTTTCTATACTTACATGTTTTGAATCACTCATATCAAAGCAGAATAGTCTATTTAACCTTGAGTTGAACAGTAAACTTGCCTAACCTGAAGTGGTTATACCTAGAGAAGACAGTTTCTGGAAGATCTGAGATTCTCTAAATGTCATACAGAAACATATTACCTGACCATAACTCCTATTCTCTGTTGTAAAAGACAAACCCACTTATATAGACTAAGAAGTGGAATATATAGAGCAAATGAAAATAAATATGGACATGAGTATTTAAGTGAATAAATCTTCTACATCGGAAAATGTTTTATGAGAAAATTAAATTCCGCTTTTATTGAATTCTGACTTCATGTAAGGCAACATGCATACATGCAGGATGAGCTAAACAACATAAAAATGTGATAATCATTATGCTCTGGTTGACTTTATTATTTCACATCTTCTTTCAGTTACTTTATTCATAATGCAGATCATTGAATACCTAAATGGATACCATTAAATGGATTTTAAATGCAAGGATTTCATATTGAAACTCCTGCCAATATAGTTCCATTCTTCACAGTGTCTTATAGGCCCTGGGCATCCTGACACCTATGAAAACCTAAATATAAAAGTTTTGTTTGTTCTGTGTATTAAAACTAAACTTCAAAATAATCTATCTGCATCAAACGAAACATAACCTTTCAGAAGTACTATGAAGCAATCTAAAGTATTGCACAGAAAAACAGCAGGCTCTAGTGACTGGCTTGTCATTTTCATATTACTCATTACTGTAGTATAAACAGCCAGCTCAAAATTATGAATGGTTGTATCTGAAGGCATAGCTCTTCTCATTTCTCTCTGCATGATATAATATCTGAAATGTGGATACACATATAATAGTTCTCAAATGTGGATACACATATAATAGTTCTCAATCAATGCAGTGAAAGTCATAAAAGCACAGAAATAAAAGATGAAATTGTCTTACCTTCTTCGGTTCACCAAGACTTTTCCCAAAAAGTCTCAAAAAATCAGGTTGAGGTTCTTGCTGAGGAAATCTGTTCCCAATGGAGTCACTCTTGTGTGTTGATATCCTGAATACTTCCCTGATGAATTTAAACTCTGCTTCAGCTTGT